GTACCAAAATCCATTTTTTTAAAACCTTATGGTGAACAGAATGCACTTCTTTTGTGCCGGCTACTATTGTGTGCTGCTGTACAAAATACGCACTAACACAGCATGCTTGTTGATTGCTTTCGGCATAGGGTTGGGAAACAATCGGAGTTGGACCTGAGTCCATACAAAATATTCGTTGGCGACCTGCCCGAATCAACACAGGACTACGATTTATATGAACATTTTTCTCAATTTGGCATAATTACTGAAGCCTTTCTCCTAAAGGGCACGGAATGGCATGCTCCTCGCCGGTGTGGTTTTATCCTGTTCCGCGACACGGATGCGGCGAAGAAGGCCCTTGAAACTCAGCCCCACCTATTAAATGGCACACAGATCTTCGTTTCGCTGGCAAGACACACGAGCATGGCTGAGTCTTGGTAAGCAGACGGCAGTCGAAAACCTTCCCTATAGGTGATCTCTCGAATTCACAGAAGAATGCACTTTAATATCCAAGGGAGGTTTAATATTTTATAAAGTGGTTCGTGATGGAAGTCTTTTATCCAAAAGTATGCTCACACTGCTCTCGGCAATAAGGTTATTGTCAATACAAGCAAACATGCGAGTCCCAGGAATTAACTAAGAAGAAGACGACTCGATCGCTGGGACAATACTTTTGTTCGCCTGCCATTTCGAGATCCATCGTGGATTCATCATCAGAGACATTAGCAAAAACAGTAACAGAAACGGCTAATACGTGCACAGGAGTTTGCAGTATTAGTAGGATGCAGTCATTACTGCAAACATACAGCAAAAATTAACGTTAATTGCCTTCTCTCGCGCGGATAGTTTGTTGGACATCATGCGTGCTCTGACCTGCTGAACTTTCATCACGCCTGAGTCCACCACGCGTGATGAAGGCAATAAACGTTAATTGTCGCTGTATGTTTGCAGTAATGACTGCATCCTTTTAATGCTACAAACTCCTGGGCACGTTTTACTAATTTCTGTTACTGTTTTTTGCTAATGTCACAGATGATGGATCGGCGACGAATCGCGAAACGGCAGATGAATGAAAGCATTGTCCCAGCAATCGAGTCGTCTTCTTCTCAATAAGGTGATTTTTAAAAACGGTTGTTTAAATTCCTCGGTAGTGAGTCTGCCAGCCCAATTAGACTTTTGCAGGGCACGATAGATTATATTTCTATGCAGCAGCTGCTTTTTTGACGAGCAATGAAAAATCGGCGATAAGCTACACAGTGCATTTTGGGATAGTTCAGTTCAGTTCAGTTTTATCAGGGAAATATAGGTAAATACCTTAGAACTCTCTCTTTGGACATAGCTTTGATGCAGATCATGTGGCGTTGCCAGTAATAAAATTGCGGTAAGGGGGCAGACAGTAAAAAAAAGTCCCTAGAAATCATTCATAAGTCCTAGTTTGAATGTCATTTGTGGGATTTTAAGGAGAAAAACTGTCGCCTGTGGGGGGGGAGGTCGAAGGGAATATGTTACTCGGATGTCCTGCTGCTGAAAGTGTCTGGATCATGTCAGGAGGAGGCCATTGCGGTTGCTCAATATCCTAATGGTCACAAGAGGAGAAGATTGCGGTGGTCACGGTGTCGGAGGTGCGCCCATCATCCGCCCGTGCTGGTCACCGGGTCTGCCGACAAGATGACTAAACTCGCGACCAATCTTTATTCTAAAAACATATTTTTGAAAAGAAGCGAGTAGTATGTTTAAAAAAGGTAATTACTGCCAGAGAAGTCTGGTGGTAAATCTTGCTTGCTGACAGACGGAAATGTAAGTGATCCCGCATAATTACAGCGAATGAATTTTTCTTTGCTGATCCAACTGCATCATAAACGTGTCCACAGATGGGGACATGACAAGGTATGCGGGTAGAGCATTCCATGCGTGGATTATCCTCTTAGAGAAGAATAATTTTCGTGTGTTTCATCTTGCCCCAGTCACAAGTAGTTTGAGAGGGTGTCCGCACAATCTAGTAGTACAGTGGTCGCCGTTGACCACGTAATTTTTCTTAATTTGTATAAGTGTGATCATGACTCCAATACCAGTGTGAATGTATTCAGGAAAACATTGAAATAATAATGAACGGCATAAGGCCTATTAAAAACTTAAAATAACTATAGGAATTACTAAGTGTTCGTAAAGGAATATAAAATTTTCTCGATATTGCCGTGCTCCTAGAAAAGTATA